ACTTGGTTGAGCAGGCGAACCATGCAGTATGTCATGGTGCTACTGCAGAGGCTTCTTACCGCAACCTGCTTGTTCTCTTAAGTTTCCTGCCTTCTCTCCACAGTCCTCTCTAAATCAAGGCTAAAATAAACCCAAGGAAAATATTTAAACAAATCTCGGATGGAGATGTTATTTTAACAGTAATTAAACTACTCAAAGATTATTTTAATTGGATGGTAAAACATCCCTTAACTTCTATCTCCAGCCTATAACCTCTGGAGGAGTGAACTACCAGGACCAGCCGTGGCACAGCCACTGTTTCGTGTGCAGCTCCTGCGCAAAGCCTCTGGCAGGGACGAGTTTCACCAACCACCAGGAGCAGGTCTTCTGTGTCGACTGCTACAAGACCTCCGTGGCCAAGAAGTGCAGCGGCTGCCAGAACCCCATCACAGGTTAGCGTAAATAGAACTGAAAGTCAAACGACATTAAAAAAGAGTAAATGGAGTAAAAATGTAAAACAGCCTCTACCTTAGTGAAGCACACATTTAATTTTTATATTACAAAAGCTTTACTCGTTACAAACGCTGAGAATGAAGTCATCTGTGAGATTGCTGCTGTCTGATCCATTTGAGCTCGACTCGACTCCACTCAGGTTTTAAAGGTTTTCCATTAGGTGGTAGTAGTCTGTGATGGCACTGGATAAGTCATGAAAGCGGTTTCTTCACAAGAATCAAACAAAACATTTTTTGTCCCGGCAATGAGGGAAAGGGCTACATGCTGACTCTCTTCTTTTATCCTCAAGTCTGACAAAAAGCCGTAGACCGAGCAGCAGGTATGCCTTCGCCTCAATGTCCTCCATTGTTGTGTTATTCCCAGTCCACTGAAGCCAGTGTGTTTAGTGCTTTACACCTGAATTCCTTCTAAACACCAGCGCTTTCACAATGAGAGCGTGTTCTCACTCGTTAGTTTAAGTCTTAATACAACATGGTGTTTGTTTTGTAAGTGATGGCTCTATTAGAGTCAAAAGGAGGTTAAAGCAGGTGGCACTTTACCATTCGAATGACATGTTAGCTGGTGTAGTGCGCAGTATCTGCTGTGTCCATAAAAACTCAGCTAAAGTGTTGGCAACAAATATTATTGCATCACAGTGGCTACATCCTTCTTTCATATGCAGTCTGTGATATTGCAGCATGAAAGACTGGACCGACTAACAAGTAAACACAGATCTCAGCTGAGATCTGAGTTCTTAGTTAAACTCGTGGCATTAAAATAAACACAACAGGTAAATGGAAGCTGTACCAGAACCATAACTATGACTGAGTGCACTCAGCTACCAGTTAAGTAAGAAAGAAAGGGAAGTTTATCTTTATAGCACTTTTCCAGAGAAAGAATAGTTAAATGCATATGCCAAAAGCAACATAGGCACACAAACACCTGCATGAACAGATGAGTTTTAAGCTGCTTTTTAAAGGATGACACAGAGAGTCAACGATGGAAAGAGAGGTGTAGGTGGGGGGGGCCTCACACCATGATGTCATAAAAGCCCTGTTAAAAAAAACCTAATAACTATTTGAAGATAAAAATTAAATCTTTCGATGATTTTAAGGTGTTTTGTAACTTTTCATCTGAAAAGATCCAGATGTGCTTTAAGGCAATTCAAATACAGCTGATGTCTTTACTGATTAAGACCAGCAGGTGGCACACAAAGGTAGACCAAAGACACGGTCTAACTCCCCTCTGCTCTTCTCTCCTCTCAGGTTTTGGTAAAGGGGTGAATGTGGTGAACTACGAGGGAAGCTCCTGGCATGAATACTGCTTCAACTGTAAGAGGTGCTCCCTCAGTTTGTCCAACAAGCGTTTCGTAGCCAAGGGAAAAGACATCCTCTGCACCGACTGCGGCAACAAGTAGAGACGGACGACTTTATGCCCACTTCAAAATGATGTAAACCTATTCCCCTGCATTCTTCTCCTTTCTATCACCAAGCTGGCCTTCACTCCCTGTCCGCTCCGGCATTATATCCACTTTGATAATAATGTGAATAATGAAATAAAATAAAGTAAATAAAAAAGGTGATAGAGAGTCTACGGTGCTCCCCTTGGTAAAGCAAATGTGTTTGGCGAAACAAAGCACTCAGACCATGACTCTGCTGGAGGATGGGTTATTGAAATAATAATAATAATTAAAAAAAAAGAATAAAAGGATGTAACCTTACCTGCAAGCAAGCATCTTATTTCAATATTCTGTTTATTATCCAGCTGAAATCTTGGAAGATCAATTGATGGGAGTACTGTAACCTGCTTGGATGTTAAGTGACGTCTACGTCTGAAAATGAGAAACTCTGAGTCCGGCAGCGGCACGTGTCAGACTTGTATTACATTAAAATGTGTGAGCTGGTGTTTTGAACCACTAGTTTCAAGTTTTTACAGGAGGTGACACAGTCAGCCTTTTCTCTCTGTCCAAATGTAAGAGAACAGTATTTTTACGAACAGCTACCCGACTCTGTTGTTAGAGCTGCATCATTCATTCTTATTCTGCTAAAGCTAACCTTCATTTACTGTGCTGTTAAAAGCTCAGAAATCAATGCGTGTCATGTTGCAGTCGGTAAATGATACAAAATAAATATCTAAGGTTGCTTAAATTGCAGCGTTTAATTCTTCACGTGTCTGTATTTAAGTTTGAACTGCTAATTGATATTTGCTTGTTGTATTTTTTACATAAACAAAATTTGTAACCCTTTCACTTCTAAATAAAGATAAAATCTGAATAAATGTTGCATGTTTCTGTGAAGATCAAAGCTCAAATAAACTTTCTACAAAACTGAGAATGACTTTTTCTCTTTTTGATTCAATTTCTCAGTTTATTTTTAATGAATGTGTTTTTTTGTTTTTTCAACTTCACATTTTTAAAGATAATTTTGTTGCACACAGGGACAGATACCAACCTACTGAAGGCCATGCAAGTAGCCTTGAAAGAGTAATTAGGTCTTCATGTTCAGGTAGTGTTGACAGAAAGCAGTGCATGTTTGTCAGAGCTAATTACCGTTTCACGTATGCTTTTGTGTGACCGTGATTTTTTTTCCTCCTACACTTTTATAGATTGACTTTTTGTCCCACCTGCATACACATAATAGCACCAGCCGACCAATCACAGCCAGACAACAGCATTACCTGCTTCACGGTCACAGAGCTTTGTGACTTGATTTTTATGCATCGTCTCAGAGCTTCTTCAAAACCAGTGAGCTGAGACTTTGCAGGATGAAGTGTAGTTGCTGAGAATCTCGACCAGGATTTACTTTCAGATTCATCTCCTTCATCAGGCGATTCTGTCAAAGGTAAGTTCTTCACTTATGCTTGAAAACTTTGATAAACTTTGATGCTTCTAATAATTCTAATAATAAAAATGCTTTATTATACAGTTAATGCACAAATAATAGTGTAATTATTTAATTTCATTTTTCAGATTTCATCATGATCATCCTTCAAAATTACCTGAATGTTTTTTTCTCTCTGTCTCTGCTGGGCAGCCCGGGTCCTGCTAGAGCAGACGGTAGGAACAACTAAAAAAAATGGGAAAAATACAAAAGAGATCACAATTTATTTGATCACAAATCATGTTTGCGTATTACTTGAAGCCACGATTCTGTGAGAAAGTCAGCTGATTGTAAAAAAGTCAAGATTATCTAAAACAAACCTCACATATATCATGTAGAGCCATTAAAGACCACAAGGTGAAAGGTGGAAAAGCATGATGTAATACTGTAGACTGACTCCAGATTCAGCTCCTGCTGACTAAATAAGTAAAGAAGAAAAAAATAGACTCCTTGTTCTTCACACATTCCTTTTAAAGTGGCCGGGTCTGTAAAAGTGGCCGCAAAACACTGATGATAATTTCTAAAGCAAAAAAATAATTACCCATTAGGGTAACAACATTTTCAACAATGAAAAAAAAGAGTTGCAATGAGACTAACAGTTAGGTTTATAAGTGTTTTTTCTTCTTTTTTTGTGATTGAGCTTCCGTACACCATCACAGTG